CACTAAAGAAACAGTGAATTTTGACATATATAGTACAGTCCCTCCCCTGCCGTCCATATATATACATATATATATGTCGAAAATTTTTTCTTTAGTGCACCACGGTACAGACTCGAACATTTCCGTATCGGTTCAGTAATGATCATACTGGTTATTATGTATTGACGTCATTAATTACATATGCTTTATAAGGCGGTAGCTTACTTTAGCAAGGGAGGAGACGGCAATTAAAACGTTCCAACTATTTAAAAAACAGATAACTGTGCAAAATTCACTGCGTGTGAACTTTTCCTGTCACCTAGTTGTGTTGTTTAGTAAAATGCTAGTATTTATTTTGGTCTTAAATCAGTTTTTTGTTAAATAACTAGTCATAGTTTTAAGATTTGCTTTAGCATATTAGCATTTATTCCCCCATGACAAGATTTGTAATAATTTCTCACTTGCAACAGCACATTTCCTGCGTTCATGCAAAGTGCACAAGAATTAAACTAGTTCTCCTGCTGCAATCAGGGTAATCGAACGCACTTTCTTTTTTCCAGAAAATGTGACTCACTCGCGCTCGCCATTCCTCCCCACCTTGATGTGTGCCTAGTTGCGGCTTTTCAGTAACAAAGTGTAACTGGCGTCTTATTTCATTTCCCCTGCACCCTGATTGGATTTGAGATGGTCCTGCTGTCTCCCTCCAGCAGCTTTCCGACAAAGCTGCAATCTCTTTAACGGCGGCTGATAGATATGATAATGCCGCCTGGCTTTATTGTGAACTGACTGAAGGGCGCAGAACAGGCATGACGTTCCCTGTCAAAGTGCCTTTCTTGCTTTTTTCTTCCCCCTTCTTTTCACCTGTTTTATTTGTTCCCTGGTTTATGGCGTCTATAGGATGTGAGGTGTTAATGTATGGGCCTCCTGCTGAGCGCTCATTTACTCACTTATCTATGGATCTTGCAAAGCATCATGTCGTCTTTTGATTCCACTTCCCTTTTTTTTGTCTTTTGTGTCTCAGCTTTTTTCTCAACATATAGGCAGAATAGATCATCTACACCATTGTTATAAATATATCACTCTTACTTTTAAAAGAAGATGTTGACCCAGAAAAACTTCAATTTTTTTTTTGGTGGAGCACAAAAGGTGCATTTTTGAGGAATATCCAGTGAAAAGGGACTAATACTTTCAAGGTTGAAAATAATAAAAAAAAATAAATAAATAAAAGGTCTACAGAATATGCTATATAAATAAAAAGTCCTCTTTTGCAATTGCCCAAGTGAATGAATTGTTTTTATGATTTTAAATAGTTTAATTGAACCCGTTCATCAAGGTCTCGTATTGTTTTCAAAGTCCCTTTAAGGCAAGTAATTTCACTTGGCGGCCATTTTTGAAACGCCTCTTTGGCAGTATTCTCCGGCATTCTGTCTGAATGGGGTAACATAAAATGTTTCAAAACTGTTTGCCAAGCTTATGATTACATTACATATTTGGAATCACCAATAAACTTAAACAACAACTGTCTCATAAGTTTTGATTCTAAACAAAACCAAAACCAAAAAAATCTGCATATTTTCTGGTTGCCCGAGCTAATGTACATGCGCACTCAAAAGTAATGAGAACACGACACCAACCTCGTTTATGGAGTTTTAGACATTAACATCCTCTGGATGTTCGTTTGATCATGCTGGTCTACTGAATCAATTCACAACTTGGTCTTGATAGTGAATCTCCTCTAGAAATGACAGCGACTCTGTTTACAAGTTTGTGAGCGTTGGAATAATTGCTGTGCTGGTATGTGTGTTTGATAGGGCGGACTGTAGCTCACGTTTGTTTCATACAGTTTACAAAACCAAAAAACTTTTGTTATCAATTGCACTTGGTTCATTTAAAAGTACAAATTTCAAGCTTTATGTTGATATGTTTCTTATGTCTGTGAAGCAAGTATTTGCTGAGATTCCAGCACGTTTGTTGACCATTAAACTGTCGTACAAGAGACGACACCGGAAAAACATCAGTCTATAGCAATTAATGATTGGCTCCTGTACTAGTAAGCGGGGCTTCATTCGCCAAGTTGACCATAACACTTTTCCCTATTTAAAACCATACAAGTGACACATCTTGTGTACTCTATAATATTTGTTGTTTCTGAATGATGGATTCATGAATTGTTTCTGTTTGTAATTTCAACTTGACAGATCGGTTCTTTAACTACCTTAATGAATCGTACTATGCTGTTGTGCTTTTGTGTCATTTGTAAAAGTTTGCAAGTCTCGATGTATTGCAAAAAAGGGTGGAAAAAGGGTGACCAGGTCATAGTCCACATTTTTTATACATATATTAGGTTTATCACGATACTGGAATTTGGTATCAATCGATACTGACATTTTGAAAAAAAAATTTCCCGCGAACATTCTTGACTGTGGTTGACCATGAAGGTCATCAGTTCACCGAACTCACCGCAGTTTACTGAATGTAACCACAGATACAGGGACACTGGAGCGTTTTAAAGCCATGATTCATCAGCGGATCGCTTGTATGTCAGCTTACAGCTGATCGACGTGACATTGAAACACTCCAGTGTCCCTCTATCTGTGTTTACACTCATTAATCTTCAGTGAGTATGGTGAACTGATGACCTTCATGGCCTATCACAGTCATTTCTGTTGAGCATGTGAACACAACGGCAAATCAGTGCTGTTTTAGAACGTGCACTCAAATGTTTGTGGAAAATGAACGTTTTTTTAATTTCATTATCGATTGTTAGTGAACTTCAGTATCGTGACAACCCTAACATATATAACTAGGGATGTAACGGTATCAGAATTTCACGGTACGGTAATACCTCGGTATGAATGTCACGGTACGGTATTTATTGAATCATTTACAGGAAAAAAAAACTTTTGAAAATACTCCCAAAAAAGTGCCAAAAGTGTCAATGACATACAAATTAGCCATCTATCTGTTAGCTTTGAAACAGGAACTTCAATTTTAATAACAAAAAATTATTAAACCATGTAAAAAAATAAAGTTTCAATTTAGTATTGTTAAAAACTCATCACATTTAACATTTAATCACTCACTTAGATAGAGATGGGTTTAAAGGAAAATTATCATATAACTATAATCTGGTAAAAGCTGGTATCTCTGAGTATTTACAATGTCCCCTGCAACAGAAAAAACCCCTCTCATTTGGGACTGAGGATTCTGGGACAAGAGAGATATGACTTGGCCCATGTTGACAGCAGTGGGGTAACGTTGTGCATTGTCTTTCCCCCACTTGAGAGGACAAACCATGAGTGAGATAGAGATCTCTTTGCGGTACCAAGTCAATGTCTGCATCAATCTGAACAGTGTGCTGTGTTTCTGCAGTCCCCATGACTGTTATTAGTCGTATTCCCCAACTTGCAGGCACGTGCACACATAGGGCTCAACCTGTGCAGTGCACATGCCCTTTTTAGTCTTGGATAGAAAATGCCCTTCCAAAACGATCAAAAGTGCCCCCGCGACGCGACACAACCTCCGTCCAGTCCAGCCCTTCAGTAGGCGCGCGATAACACCTCTCTTGAGTATGCGCGCTCAACCCCCCCTCGGCGCTTTACAATACGCGCGCCACAACACAGCTGATCAGAACGCGCGCGACAGCACCGCTATTCAGCACGCGCGCGGCGACAACACCCGCTTTAGGTTCGATCATTTCCATCTTTTTTTCATCTCCGCTACTAGCAGCACACTCCATTTCCGCATTACTGGATCTGTAGCGACAACAGACCGCAAAGGATTATGGCCACGCCGGGGCTGATGGGAAATGAAGTTCCAGCTACCTCCCGTTCGCTTCATTCGCCTGAGCAAATTTTCTCAGAAGACCTATAGTTTTACCGAGTCATGCGACTTCGGTAATATCGAAAAAATTTAATATTGCGGTATGACGGTATTTACAATACCGTTACATCCCTATATATAACATATAAGTAATGTTGCATGGGCAAGTAAATGAATATTAAGATTTCATTTTTCCAAGTTCAAGAACTCATTCCAAGTTTATTCTGCAAATAAATGTAAACATTTTTTACCGCAGTTGTCTACATTTGTAGTCTGATGAGCTGAACATTGTTTAACCTTGCTCTCTCATTCCACCCATAAACACTGAGTGATTTATGAAAGCTGTCATAAGCTATCCTTTACGTTATGCTCACGAACACAAATCCGTCAAATGGTTTCCACTCCACGGCAAGATATATGAAATGGGTGGAAACTGATTAGCCCCATTGACCTGTCGCTGTGCCGTGAGCGGCCTATTTTGTCCTTTTTGCAATCTGTCACATCAAACGTAAGCTTTTTTCCCCACATTCAGAACAGAAGTCTAATTTTGTTAGATCAGCAGAAATGATGCACAGCGGTAAAAAAGTGCTGCCTCGGAAGATGGAACAACTTGCGTTCGTTTTCTTAAGCCCTGCTTCAGCAGCTTTTATGAAGCGTCCATTAAATCAATATCTAAAGAGTGAGAGCGGTTTAATGCCGACCTGTTTAACAGGTACTTATTTTCAATGAAGTAATTAAGGGACCATTTGGAGTGCAACCTGCTCCCCCTAGCAGCCCTTAAGGACTGTATTTCCTTAATTAACAAATATCAAGCCTAATTGATTAGCCACTTGCAGGTCACACCTCATAAAATGGGAAGCTATCCAGGGGTTATGATTCCAGTGACCCAACTTTGAAAGAAGATGTCAGGTTCTTACAGTCAGTGTCATACTGAAAAAAGATCAGCTTTCGGTTTAAACTCTGATGTCCCTTTAACTCAGAGCATTGCCTGTTCTTAAACCAGTTCAGTTAAAACATTTTTGGTTAGGCTAATTGGAACAACTAGGCCCAAAACAAACCATGCCATTCAGTTTTCGGATGTCCTTGATGTTGTAAAATGTACCGCAGCCTGTTGGTGTTTTGTTCGGCAGCTGTTTGGTTCAGTAAAGTTCACCCATGTATTTGATACTCAGCTTTGTTTATTCTGCCTTATTTTACAGTGTATTCTGGGATCTGTACTGCGCAGCACCAGATCGACGGGAGACATGTGAACATTCCAGCGAGGCCAAGGCTTTCCACGACTATGTGAGTTTCTTTATTATCTGCTGTGGGGTTGGGCTGAACCTGAAGTTCTGCTATGGGTTACTCTGTTAACCCAAATGAGCACGTTTACCACCTGTTTATAGTTAGTCGTTATGTTTATCTCAAACTTGAGTAAGTGGAGGTTAGGGTATTTGCTATAAATATGTTTTAACACAGGTTATGACTTAAGTTTGTGTGTATTTGATCACACATCTCATAACATTTACATCTTTTCTTGTGTATCTATGGTAGTTTCATTGTCTGTGTACTAGAATACATCTTTGATCAGGTCTTTATGGCTCTTATAAAGTTCTTGTACAAGAATCTAGATGCTCAAAGTGGATGTACATCCCAAATTGTTAATGGATTGGAACACAAAATAAGATCTTTTGTTCTGTGGATGACAGCCATTGGGTTCCAATATGATTTGCAATTTCCTTTATTTGTGATGTGCAGAACTAGAAGGTGAGTTTTTTGGTAAACCATGCCTTTAAGCCTGTGGTGTTAATAAACTGGGTTGTCTTAGGTCCGGACCTTGACCCTTTTGACACCTTGATCTGTGGAATACCCTCAAGTTAGTACTGGAGAACTGGAGTAGCGTGTATAGGCAACCCCAGAGCTCAACCTAAAAGGGTATTTGTTTGTTGCTGCAGCTTTCCGTCTGCAAATGACCATGTTAATTTGACCACAAACACTGACCCTTGCTTAGCACTTGAGATCGGTCTTGCAGTTTGAGTGTTAGCGCCTGTATCTACAATTTGCTGAGTACACTGGGACCTCTTTCCCACTCTGTGTGTTTTCTTTGGCAGAAATATTGCGTCAAATATAAATTGTGCAAATATCTTTTACCCGGCACATTAGCAGTGTTAAAACCTTGTGAATACACTCCAGAGGAGGATAATATGTCAAAGATTATATGAAAGTAACTATGATGTACTGCTAACTGCTAGCGCAGGAGTCTCACCTGGGCCAAATCTCAGGCCTTGAGTCACAAAGGGATTATTCATCTATTTTTGCTTCAGACTTTTAATTCTCTGGACTTGCCAGCAGAGAACAGTTGCAGGTCCGTGTCAGCTGCCTGCCGAAGTTTCAACCAATTGGAATCAGTGTGCGTGTGTACGGCCTCTATAAGATTAATTACATGGTTAATTAAACGCCATGCTTAATTAAGTCTGACGTGTGTTCAATTAATCTATACGCCTAATCATTTCTAACACCCAATGGACACCTGGGATTGTTGAAATGAGTGTTCTGACGACCCCCTCCTCCGCACGACTGACCACCCGTGCTCAAAGTTGACGCGGCTGTTGTGAAACAGGCTGTCTGCTCCGATTGACTGTTTGAAATGCTCGGTGGCCTTTTCTAAGTAAACTTCGACTCAGGCTTCAGGCTTTGCTACTGGACCTCTGGGACTTGGGGCGAATTTGAAAGGCTCAGATGTCCTGCCCCTGAGTTCTAGTCTGAGGATTAATGACCGGTTTCCCCTGACCTTTAACCCATGGCAAAGTTCAGGAGGTCAGAGCGTATCCGGCTTGTGTTGTGTACCGTTTCAAATGTTTCCCCAAATCTTTTCATCAGGCTATTAATCTCCATTTGCTCTCAGGTTGTTGCGTCCAGTAGAGCAATATTGGGTTCAGTGTTTTTATTAATTGGGCTAGAATAGAGTGAACAAGTAGAGTCCTTTCCACCTTTCCTTGAGGGTTACTCCGCACCATTGATCTTCCTGAGCATTTTTTTTTTCTGTAGGTATGAACTCTCTAACTAGTGGCTAGCCACTTCTAGGAAGACCTAGGGTTACTTTATTTATTTATTTTTTTTAGAGTTTTGTGGACACCGGGCTAATGTTGTGTGAAGAGTCTTATGGCGGAGGTTGTGACGAGTTATGGAGGTGATGGGGGGGCGGTGGAGATGGAGGATGAGGAGGAGGAGGCGGCGATGTCAGTCCCATGGGTTGCTCCAGACCTGTCTCTGTCTGATTAACTTCAGCTCTGGGATCCCCGTGGACCGGCCGCCCCATCAAGCCTGCTATCTCAGGCAAGGCTGATAACAGTGCCCATTCCCTAGCGTGTCAGTGGATCAGGGGCAGAAAAACAAGTGAGTTCCCATGAGTCAAATCCTCCTCACTGTCAGCGCAGCAGTTATATTGGCTTCTCCAAATCAGGGCTTCAGCAGTGACTAGGTTTTTGCAGTCAACAAATTAAACCGATTTTATTCGTAACTTTCTGGTGGTGGAATTTTAGAGCTGTGATTCCTTCCTTTTTTTTCTACCCTCAGGTTCAGTCTTTTTCTCTAGTGGCCAGTGATAGAGGTTGTGCGAGTAAGTCCACCAGTTGGGAGAAAAGATAATGGGATATAACATGCAAATCTTGAGATCTGTGGAATCTGGTTCATAACTAATCCGAGGATTGCTATAGGATTGTGACTTTGGCTGAGTTCCCAGAATCTGAGAGCCAGTTCCCCAAAACCAGGCAGTCTCTAGTGCCATCAAAAAACTCCTCAAAATCATATTTTTTTACTGCCCACCCCCTTTTGTAAACATCTGGAAGTACTTCAGTATTCTTGTTGACAAGCCATTGATTGATATTCTCAGTTACAGAGGATTTTATCAAATATGAGGGTCACTGTCTTTGAGGAACGGAAGGGAAAGTGGTGTGCAGGTTTTGTATTTGCTGGGATGATGTGTGTACCTGCACACTGCAAAAATGCTAAAACTTAGTCTCCCTTTAGAGTCCTTGCATAAATCCTGGTGTTTGGATACAGCAGCAGAAAGGTTCGCATATTTGTCTTGTAGTTTTGCATGTGGAGTTGCTTGCAAAATAAAGAGCTTTCATACTTTCAAAGATCTTTTCTATTATTTTTACAATCTGTTTGCCTTTGGAGTTGTGGCCTAGTAGTTAGTGACAGGTACAATAACGTATGTATAGAACTATGCAGAAGGACTTTTAATCTTTCAGTAACCTGGGGCAAACGCTTCTGGTGAGCTATATGTCATTACAAAATCGGCATCTGTTTTTAAAAATCATGGATCTTCACTGCCTGATTGATACATGATATAAAGTGGGTCTCAGGTTGTTTACCCTAGTATTTTCAATGGAATTTCTGTGCTAGCCTGTTGACCCTAACGGGACCATGTGTGAATGGCTTTTTATCTAGTTTAACCCTTGAACAACTAAATGAATGTCGTAGTCTATTTACCTGATTATATTTTAATTACATTACAACATCGGTGCTGTAAAAGGAACCGTAAAGTCACATTAACCTTTAGGGGTGTCAAAATGAACTGTTTCTTCAGTGCACCGCAATGCAGACATGGACAATTTGGTATAGATTCAGTAATAATTATAACTGGTTTTTATGTACTGACATCATTTATCTCATATGCGCTATGTCCTCATAGCTTATTATGGCGATGGAGGCAAGCGCAAGTATGTACAACGCTCTAACTACTTAAAAACGCAGAAACTTTGCACAGTTTCACTGTGTGTGTGTTTGCTGGACAGTCTTTCACTGGCACTTACTGCAGAAGCCCCTATTTCACTGCGATTGAGAGAATGAAAGTAAACTCTATTTCTCTCTCTCTTACTGTGGTCCATTTGACCTGCTGAGATGACGTTTTCTCTATTCTCGGCTGTTACAGCAATACTTCTGGATATAGACATGAGCGCATGTCTGCAGTTTTCTCCACCGTGTCTATCATAGATCAGCTGTGATCGCCGCTGCCGTTTATCAGTGTCACTCATCTGTGAACAGCGCAAGAGCCAATCACAGCCCTTTCTATTGAGCGTGTGACCAATCAAAGGGGTGTAAGAAAGAACTTGGTAGACAAGGCTCAGAAAGCGATTGGGATAATTAAATTTACTTATATTATTTACTATAAATGTTTGTGTTGTTTAAAGGTACAGTTTATATATCTGACTGTTTGTATTGAAGGACAAAATTGTATTACAATTAGTATATAAATATATTTATACATTTTAAAACAAGATTGAAGATGAAAGATTGAAAGTGAAAATATAAAACTGTGTATGGAAAGCATCGTCAATGCACTTTGATGCACCAAGATATTGAATTGAACCGAATCTATGGCATGATAATCGTAATTCAACCGAACCGACTAGTGTAGGTTCACACTATTAACCATTCACCAGAAGTTTATCAGTATGGGAAGAGACACTAGCTGTGCATTTACCCTATCTAGACTGATAACCCTAATTTTTCAATCACAGTTCGCTATATAGTTTTGATGCCCAAATTGTAGAAACATTGACCATCATTGCTGCAACTGCCATTTGTCTTGCCAAATAGATGGACACAAAAAATTAAGACACATAATAGATCACAGAAGATGTGCCAATATATTATCTATACTAGCAAATATGTCATATAAAATAATCTCTCAAAGAAGTCTGCCAATTGAACACAAAATTGGCGTAATTATCAAATTCCTTCTTATTTAATGAGTTAAACCTTAGGTGACACGGTGGCTTAGTGGTTAGCACTGTCATCTCACAGCAAGAAGATCGCTGGTTCGAGTCCCAGCTGGGTCAGTTGGCATTTCTGTGTGGAGCTTGTATGTTCTCCTCGTGTTGGCGTGGGTTGCCTCCGGGTGCTCCAAAGTTCAAAGACATGCACTATAGATGAATTGGGTAAGCTAAATTGTCTGTAGTGTCCTGGTCCTCCAGGTTAGGAGTTGAACGTTGGGCTAACAATCCACCTTGTAAAAAATGAGATATTACGAAACACCAGCTTTGTGGTACTATATATCAACTTCAATATAAACGGCCCTGGGAGTAAGTAAGTATGTCTTAAACAAAACACAAAAGATTTTAAAGATTGCTTACGCTCTGTTTATCCTTTAAAATTATAGGTCCTAAACATTCCACTGAGTTTCATTGAATCGAGTGCTTAGACTTATATTAAAATGTATGTCTTTGTGATCCAAAAAAGAAAGAGTCATGCAAATATGGAACAACATTTTGGGTGAGCTGTGCCTTCAAGTCTAT